AGTCGAATCCGTGCGAACGGCAGTTCGAAAATAGTTTTTCCGCGCGGCGATATTGCCCTCGTAAACCGAAGGCTCCCCGGCCTCCGACCGTACAGGCTAAACGGTCCCGAAGAGTTTGTTTTATCGAAACGATCCGCGCGTGTGTGTTTTTATCTGATCGATAGAATGGGAGAGAACAGCTGGACAGTCCCGCGGCGCTACCAACCCCGGAGCCAACGCAGCAGGCAGCGTCGTGCCAAAGCGTGGCCGTCGCAGCGCTGCAGGACGAGGTCACTGCGCTTCGAGCCGAGATCGCGAGCTTGCAGACGCAGCTCGCCAATTTTAAGAATCAGGCTAACAACAGGCAACAGGCTGGCAGCGAATCACCTCGCAGAGAGCTAAGGGTGGGTTTTGCGCTTTCGTAGGGGATGATCATGGAATAAATTGGAGTAGTTGCCGGATATGCTAGACAACCCAAGTTATCGTCTATTTATTTGTATTTATGAAGAACCCTTTAACCTCTTGCGCTGCAGACATGATATTTTTGTCGCGAAATTGCTAATGGCGTCTTACATCGACAATCTTCGCGTTGCTTTTGAAATGTACTATACGAGATTATTAATAAACAAAATTACATCTACCTGAAATAGGTAGAAAGAGAATTCTTCGAAACTGATAAATCTCCGAATGAAACGCAAGAGGTTAATATTAGTAAGAATTAGCTCTGCGCCACTTGATTTCATACGGTAAAACTATAAATTTGGTATTTAATATTATACTCCGTATAATGCGTCAATTTGAGAAATAATGAAACATGTCTTTGTTTCTCAATGCATTATCGTCTTTGTCTCATCAGAAACTCTTCAAATATTTCTACTGAAAAACTTCCGAGAGCAAAGGGTTAGAAGTAATCATTCATTAAGTATACGAAGTTTACTTAAAAGTACTCCGCTACCATTTGATCAACCAATTAACTTCGCGATGCGTAGAATCTAATAAATGTCTGATCGGCGCAGAAAATGTATCCGGCGAGGCGCGACGAACGCCGAAGTTGAACAAATTTCTCGCATCGTTACCCCACGGCTGCGGCCCAACCTTTGATCAGCCGACACTTTCACGAAAATGTTTATCAACCCTTCCCGACGTAATGTTTCCCCGTCCTCCTTTGATTCCCCGCAGACAAGAGGCAACACCAGCTCGCCGGAACCTTTGAGTGCACCTTGCTCGCCACTCTTACCGCCCCTGCAGACACCGCCAACAAAGAGCGTAACGAGGGAGGAAGCTCCTGTTCTTAAAATGGCCGAGAGGGTGAGGCTCAGGAGGACGGACGAGAGGCACATCACAGGACCCGATATTACCAACTTGGGGGTACGTTATCGTTACCGTTGTCCGCGGCCCGTGCTTTTACGATTCTACGTGGCCGGTTTACCGAAAACCTGTCGCGATCCCATTGATCGCAGGTGGCAATAGCTTCTCAACCCTCGGATCCTATTATCTTCGTCCGTCCCCGTCCAGCTTTCTGAAAACTTCGTTCGTCCCTTGGAAAGTGAACTTTAATCCTTAGCACTTCAGGTTGTCTTGTAATTTTTATAGTATTCCTAGAGAAAATGAGAAATGCCATAACATTTCTTCGATCTTTTATTTTCCTTCTTAGTAGAACATTTGGATGTGCGGAAAATCGAATGATTTTAGGGTGGTTTCTTTAAGATTCATTGAAATATGTAATAACTCGTGCAATATAGGAGGCTATAGAGTTCAAAGGGTTAATGTTTACGAGACGTGAGACCAACGAAACGGAATCTGCAAATTGTCACGCTGGGAAGCAGTAATGGGAATTGTATTGTTCAAATATTAATAAACCTATGGAAAATGTATTTTCTTTGAATTCAAACGTGGACAGAAGTTTCAACAATAAAACCATTTGCAATAGATAACCAAGGGAAACTAGAGGACTAACTGTTAGACCCAGCCTTTGCTTAGTTCCGACGTCCAACTGCGATATCCGCTTACCACTTGCCATCTCGACAGAGTTACTCAGAAAATATTCAATATAATTGGTCAGGTATGCTCCACGATGGTAGCAGAGCACCTGGTGTCCGATCTCTTAGAGCACTCGAACCTCCAAGAGCTGAACGGGTCCGAGAAGCAGTTCGAAGTTGAAACGGAGAGGCTGAACAGCCGGTTGGAACACGCGCGAGCGAACAACGCTGTCCTAGCGCTCACCTTACACGAGAGCAAGGCACAGTGCGACAGGTACTTTCCACTCAAATAGCAGCTGGTACAGATGGAATCGGCACCTAAAATCATTCCTTTCAGATTGAGTCTACTGGTGGGCAAGTACGAGTCGAACGCCACCGCGTTGCGTCTAGCTCTTTCATACAGCGACCGAACCATCGAGGCGTACGATGTCCTGGTCGCTTTGCTGGAGAGCGAGATCGCGTTGTCCACGGAGAGGAACAGCATCACGATCGACAACAGAAGAGCAGCCGAGCATGTAGCCTATCACGTTCTAAACAAGTTGGAGAACGAGTGCGTGAACAGCTTGAACACGCCTTGGGAGGACAGCATAGTCTTGTCCGATGAGTAAGTATAGTTGGAAGCGTTTAGGCAGGGTTAAAGCTTCTGTAAGAACTGGGTGTCGCTTGCATTTCCCTTCTCGCACAGAAAATAAACAGCAAAAGTAGCTGTCGGCGTTGAATGAGAAAAAGAAAGAATGTTACCCCTTGAACCAACGGTTTCCAACCTTTACGACACTGCTCCCTAAAGAAAATTTGTTTTCCATGCTCTCCTATCTTTTAATAGATATAATATAGACGTAACTTTATTACAAAATAAACATTACTTCACGGAATTTGTACTGTTAGGGTATGAAGTTTATTTTTTTGTAGGTATTACGACGTGAACGTTAATTTTTTAGTAGAAATTTTGACGCCTCCCAGGTTGGAAACTGCGGCTTTAAATCCATATTTTTATCTTCTCTGTCTGTGAAACACGAGAGATCTAGTTCCAAAGTTTAGCTTCTCACAATGATGCAACCTATGGTCCTTTCCTTTAATGGAACTACCGAACACTTAAACTGACTTTTAAAAATTTCATTATAAAAGTTGCAAATGTGGATTTATTAAGAGTTGAATTGGTTTAAATTGCAGCTTAGGTATTACTTCACCCCTTGCCCTTATTTTCCAGTAATGATCAACAAAACTACTTTACCGTTAATAATTTACTGAAAGTAGTAAATTCTATGCCCACGTTTGCTCTGAAGCAGTTTCCCGACCTTTTTTGTCGCATGCCCCACCTAAGTCTTTCTAAAATTCTTATGCCCCCTTATGTAACATATATATAATTTTTAATATTATATTATAATATCTTTATAATATTTATTATAATTATGATATATTTCAAATTTCAAACTGCCCCCCTTAAAAATCAAATTGCACTAAACACTGCTCTAAAGTGTAATAATTGATGGCAGAAGAGTGATATTTAATTTGAATTCACAAACACTTAGTAACATTTACGTTTGTTTCATTTAAAATCTTCACCACGCGTTATTATAACGCAAAGGCTTAATCAGCTTCTTTAATAGTTTCTCAAAGAGATATTCGTGCCTCTTCAGTAATCGCAAGAGAAGAAATCAAGCATTTGGTGGTTCTAGTGTTAAGAGTATGTCAGATTAATCAGACAACTTGCATCAGTCTACGTAATTGTTCAGAGCCGACGTGACGTGGTGCGTCGAAGACGAGCAGAGACTCAGAAGACACATCAGCCGATTGAAAGGGGATCGGGCTATGGTCAGGTCAACTGCGGTGGAACTGGAGAGCGTCCATGCCGAGCCGTTGAACTCAAAGAACACGATCTCACTGGCAGAAGCCAGGAAACTGGACTTAGAAACCGCCGTGTTAATGCAGGTTCGTCGTGATTTCCGTTTCGGTGGACGAACGCTTCGAGTTCCGTCCTATGGATGAATACAGATCTGGTAATGATCACGCAGGAATTGATGGCCATGCGGGAGGACAAAGCTGAGTTACGAGCGAGGGTTTTCCTCCTGGAGAAGGAGCGAGCTACCATAGAATTAAAATTAAACGCGCGCGACACGCAAATTGCGGCGCAACACGCTGCCATTGAACATCTTCAGGGTCAGCTGAACGACACGGAGGCCATGCTGGCAATGGCTACAAATAAAGTATGAACGTTGCTTTAATTCTTGGTCTTTCAGACTGGGGGAATTTACTCTGCGAATGCAATCAGCTGGTTTAAGTATTTTCATTTAAGAATAAAATGAGTTTAACTCGTTCGCTAATTGAATTCAATGAATTTGAACAAAATATTAGAAAAATGAAACTGAAACGAGTCACTGAGTATCTAAATATAATATAGTTTATAATGTTTGATAATATCTATAGGATTAATTTCTTTTTTAATTTGTGAAATGTAAGATTACAGCCGTCACAAATATGTGATGCTGGTAGGAAATGTGTTAATGTTGTTTCTATAGACATATGTGAACGTTTTGTTAGAGAGTTGTTTGTCAATTAATTAGAGGGGGGTTTTATATTGTAATTGATTGAATTGTACTCGTAGGATCGTGGTTTAAGCGACAACGAAAGCGAAGGCATGGAATCGGAATTGATAGAGGCATTGGGCCGGGAAGCTAGGCTCAAAGAACGTTTGCAGGAGTTAGTTTCCACGTTGGATAAAGTTAATAAAAATTCTGAACTTAGACATCAACAGTCCGCTGAGCTTGTGAATGATTTAAAAAGAGCTAATGGGTAACTTAATTGGAAATATTGCAATGTATATTGATTAAAGTCAGTATATCTTTTAATGGAGTATGTATTTTTAGAGCTCTGGTACAAACTTTGGAGAAGTCCAAGAAGAAGTACCACTCCAGATTAAAAAAATTGGAACAACAGATGTTGGGCATGGTTGAAAGACACGCTACACAGGTATAATAATGAATGTGGACGGTGAAGTAGGGGATATTATAAATAAGTGTTACAATCATTTAGACATATTTATATAATTTTATTTATTATAGTTCTCTACGTTCTTCTGTTTTACATGAATTACACTTTATCTATGACTTCTGCTGCTTCTCGATTCCCTTTTCAAACTTATGTAAATCTTTCGCTTATGAACACAAGTCTTGTAGGCGAGCAATACTTTCACTCGCTGGAGGATTGCAATACCAAGTGTCTATATTTTGCTTGCCATTACTAAAATCATAGACACAAGCTTTAGCAGCGGCTTTCAGTTTTTCGCATACAATTCAGGGTGGTGTTGTCTTAATTTTTCTTCAACTGCATCTCGTATGCAGTTCTTCTTATATGTCTTGTAAAAGTTAACCTCTCCAACGTGCCACTTTATCATGGTAAACTCCATCAAAGCACCGGCGAGAACGAAAAATGGTAAAAAGCGATAGTTACCTAGAAACCTTCTTCCAGGTACTTTATTAACAATTCTTCTTAATCTGCTCATAATTGCTATCGTTCCAGAGAACTATAACCTCTGACACTTGGTAAACGCCATCTTGATTTTCCTCGCCAGATTCCCCGTGCTCTGCGCAGTTGCATTTGACCAACATAGTAACGATGAAACTAAGGCCTATGCACCCATTTAATTATATTTGAATTTATAGGTGAACTTATTGAAACAACGAATAACGTTGCTGGAGGAGGAAGCAGCGGGATACAAAACAAATCTACCGCTTCAATCGCAGAGTTCTGGCGCTAGCGAAACATCGTTATGACAATTTAGTGATTAATGGAAATTGTTCGACACTGATTCAAGGAACGAGTATTTTTTACTATCTTTCCTGACTTAACAGAACGATTGAAATGGAGATGAAATTTACGTATTTTTTTACACGGATAGTTGGCCGAGAATAACGCTTGATTATTCGCTTTGTAATTCTATAAAGGACACAAAACACGTGTAGTAGCTATCCTAACGGATTTCAATTTCTAAGCTAGGTTTTACGCAGATCTGCTATTGAGATACAACAAAAGCAAACTATATAAGAAAGTCCTCCAGGTATACTGTGAAATATAAATAATTGTTACTTGATACTATATGTCATTTATAGACAGTGATATTCATCTTGTAAATATGTATATTTCAAGCTTTAAAGAAAAGCGTGATATGTGTAAACTATGATGAAATAAATTGTGCTTTATTAAATTTCCCATTGTTCTTTCATAATCCTTCAATTTTTATGTAAGTCTTTCAACCTACAATTTTATTGTAGATAGTATGAATCGGATTCAATGCAGGGGAAAGTATTAAGATTAGTAACTATTATTATTCATTATTTATGATTTAATATTATTTACATGTACAATACTATACAGAATTTTAATACTGTATCATTTATGCTCCATTTCTGCTAGTCTTCTTTTATATTCCGTTTCTATAAGTTCATCTAAATCTTCAAGAGGTTTATATTTTTGGTGAACCCATTGTGCACCCATTAGCATTGATAAGAAAGCTGCTGTAGCAAATGGAATAAATCGAGGATATGTCATGCCATATGGCATTGTGTCAGTTTTTTTACGATTATTTACTTTTAATCACTTTTCTTTTTCCGTTAATGCAATTATTCTTCAATTATGCTTCTTTTGCTTTATAACCTCTTGTACCCTATGAAAAGATCACATGCTTTCGGTTCGAAACAAATTACTTGAAATTCTGATATAAAGCCACTGCAATAAAAGCTATCAGTATTTGAAAATTGTTACAAACCACTTATTCATTAATTTCTTATATAATTTTCTTCAACTAGACGAATGCTTCACAACTAACAAACACCATGATAGTAAAGTCACGTTTAAGGTTATGCGCAATAGTACGCGCGCATGTGTACAGTATATTCAAAGAGTTGGTATAGAAATGATCAGTTGCACTTAAATAGTTAATGTATTTAAACATATATATATAAAACGCATTTACAAATTTATACATATCTTTTTAGATGATTATTCACGATCTTTGATTTTCTTGTTCTTGCTGATTCATTTCTGTTGCCATGACCTCTGTAGCACTTTTTCCTGGAACATCAGGTTCTTCCTCACCTGGGACATCATTGATTTCAACAGCCTCTCCTTTATTCATCATGGACTTCTGTATTTCTTCCTCTAAATGAACACAAGCTTGTTCAATTTCATAATTCTTTGATACCAATCCAACCCACTGAGCTTCTAATGCTCTTAATTTTTCTCCTCCTTGAGTTTGCATTGATTTCCTTTGCCAATTAACTTCTTGAATTTTCTTCCTTAACGACTGCAATTGCTTCTGTGCTTGACTGACTAATTGTACTAATACTTCTAAGTAAGACTTCCAAGCTTCGCATCCATATTCCATCATCAATTCAAGATTACAGATTCTGCAAAAATATAAAACATCTCAGGATCACAAAGTAACCACACTACTGCACTTTGTAAATATATATACCTTGTAGCTTGATGTTCCAACTGCGCACTACTGTTTTCTACACTCTCATTCCACGCAGCAAGATCATTCATCTTGCCTGGGGGTGGTGGAGGTAACTCGTAACGCTTCATGCTAAGTACTTCCATGGGTAAACGATTCTGCATTCGTTCAAATTCATGTTTCATTACATCCGTTTCAAAAGCATTTATATTTAAAGGTGGTAAATGTTCTAAGTAATTTTTAGTTGGCCTGTATCGACGAGTTTCTTCTTCGACCATAGCCAATGCCTAGAATATTCATTAATATCGTAAAATTTAATTCAGTAAAATTTCCTTAAAACTATAAACCGGATAGTAAACAATGTAACCTAGAAGTTTCAGGATCATAACCATTCGTATAAACAAAATTTACTCACCGCTTCTCTAACTCCCGGTTCATCATAGCCTTGATCTATATAGGGTAGGGCGTCAACGATAACTTCACCTGCCATTTAAATAGTGAAAAAGCAACTTTCCCTTCGTTAGTTAAATAATATGTCAACAACGCTTGCGATAATAAATAACGCTCAAAACAGTACTTACTTCTGCCACGGTAACGCGCCAGTCGTCAACTGATCCCGCAATGCGTGAGACAAGGATACCAATTTTGGTGCGAGCGACAGTATCGCCATCTAGCGGCGGGGAATTTTCGAAGCTTTTCCCTATACCCGCAATGTGTAAGACAAGGACGGAGCTACTGTGCGACAAGGACAGAGATAGAGATCCCGAAGCCACCTCCTTCGAAAAAGCATCTCATCAGTCCCTGGTACGTACGCGTGAAGCATCAGGACCAAGGAGGTATTCGAAAAGAAAATAAGTCGCGCCATCTAGCGGTAGCGACTGTGAACTACAAAGCGATGCGTCGATAGAAAAACAGCAACGAATTCAATAATTACTCGACTCCCACGAATATTTTGTGAACATTTGAAGTTTTAGGCCATAGAATGGTCCTTCCGCTACTTTTTCATTTCGCTTCTGATAGGATTTTGTTCCAGGTTAATTACGTATTAATTATTTTTCAGGACGATGTCCCGTGATAACTTAGAACTTTTTGACAGAGGCCGAGTGAATGATTAAGTTCTTCAATTAATAGGCATAATTTGTGAATGTTCGGACGTGGGGAAATTATAGTGAACTCTCGACAATATTCTAGTATGGTTTATAGTCACATTTGATTTGTGATTAATGAGTTATTAGTGATTAACGGATGAGCTGATTGCGTCCCGTAAGGAAACCAGGTGTGTGTGGCACCATCTATTGCAAGAACGTTGAAACTTCTAGGCGCCACCTAGCTATTATCTCTGTAACTCACACACCTGCATAGTTATCCGTTTCTTTCCTTAAACAAGTATCGTTTTACCATCTAGCGGAAATACTCTGCTACTATTTTTCTAGAATTTTGAGCGTTCTTGCAACAGATGGCGCCACCACTATCGACGTTTTACAGAACGCAAGCAGCCCATCGGATAATCGCTAATAACATATTAATTACGGCTCAAATTTGATTAAAACTGACACTAAAATGTTCCTAGGGGCTCACTCTAATTTCCTCAATCGCAAATATTCACAAATGATGCCTGTTAATTGTGGAACTTAATAATATGCTCGGCCACTGTCAAAAAATTCTATGATATCTACGGACATCGTTTCGAAGAATAATTAATACATAATTAATCTGAGACAAAATAATATCAAAGGCGATACAGGAAGGTAGCGGAAGGTCCATTCAATGACCCTAGATTCCAAATATTCACAAAATATTCCTGGAAGTCGAGTAATCAATGAATACGCTGCTGATTTCCCTAGGTTATTCTATCGACGCATTTCTTAGTAGTTCAAGCCACTGCCGCTAGATGGCGATAAAAACTTTCCTTTTTAAATACCTCCTTGGTCCTGATGCTTCGCGCGTACGTACCAGGGACTGATGAGATGCTTTTTCGAAGGAGGTAGCCTCGGGAACACTATCTCTGTCCTTGTCGCACAGTATCTCCGTCCTTGTCTTACACATTGCTGGTATAGGGAGAAGCTTCAGAAAATCCCCGCCGCTAGATGGCGCTACTGTGACCCGCACCGCGAATTCTCCGTCCTTGTCTTACTCATTGTGGGTATAGGGAAGACGATGTACATCGCTTTATTCATTATTATCAATTATTATTGCAAATGTTTAGATTACATTACGCTCTTTAAATTATTGTCTCGATGTTCACGTCGTCAAATACGATATTAATTATTTTTAACTATGGAGAAGGTATATTTCTATTGAATTGAAGCGTGGGATGTGTATTGTTAACACTAGAACCACCCACCACTTAAACTGACTTTTACAAGTTACTTTATAACAATCACAAGCGTGCGTCTATCGAGATTTCAATTGAGTTGCATTTCAGTTTTGCTATCACTGGATTAGTTCCGTTCGTAATTCTTCATCTAACGGTATAAATCTAATACCAGATTTTCGGAACAAGTCAATTTGACCATCGAATTTCATAAACCTCATGTTAAAGCTACTTGGATCGATTTCGATTGATAATGTTACTGTATTTCTAAAGCTTTAATTTCTAAAGCCTAAATAAACGAACATATTCTAGGCACAATAGTGCAATCCGCCCGATGAACGTCCGTAAACCTAGCGCTAAGGATTCGAGTAATCAGGTCGAACGGAATAATTGACCGCGGCCTAATTTCCCGTGCGAGTGGAATATTGTCCCTTACAATGTCCCCGGCGAAATGGAGCGCAGGGCACGGCTGTCTCGTTTCGATACCCGCTCGAAATCATAACGGGGACACGATCTTATCGAAATCTTCGGTCGTTCCATTCAATCTCCCCTCCAGCCCGCTATGCCGAAACCCGATATACGCGAGCTTTATCGTGCATTCGAGCGGCGCTCGTATCCGCAATATTGTTCGAGAAATCGCCTCGAGGCTGGTCCCCCTGTGCTCGCAATGAGACACGGAGGAAAACCGAGCGCGGATAAGCCGGGAAAATTTCTTAAACGATAAGTCGACGTGGTCTGGTCGTGCAGGCGCTTTGGAACTCGTCGCGAAGACTCTTATCGCGGCCATAGAGCCTCCCAGTGTCGCGCCGTTAATTTCTAATTCCGCTATTTCGCCTGCTAAGCTATCACATTGGAAGTACACCGCACTTTATGGTACGGTGGACCCAGTCTAAACCTGGGGGACATTAAACTGTACCTGATAACTAAGGTATCTAAAGCTGAAAGAGAAACCTAAGCGGATCACCTAGTTGTAACATTGGATTCGGCAGATCTAGGTCTACTTTCTTAGCACTGAAGGATTAGCGAAAGGAAACAACTCCAATGAAAATATCAAATTCAATATTCAATATCAAATTGAATATACTACAATTGCACATAGAACTTTGAAATCAAACAACTCTATCTCTTGATTAAGATATTTCTAATCAACACAGTTTGACGTTTCCCTAGGAACCTATAGAATATCAACAATGAGCTAAGTACTACATCGAATTCTTTTCACATAAATGTTCTTTACTCGATTTTTATTTAAAACAAATTATTCTGCTGTACACTCAGGTTTTTCATTTTCCTTTGAGTATACTATACTTATTTACCCGATCCTTCACACGGAACCTATCGTAGAAAAACAGAATTGACTACGTCCCAACTTAGCTACCTGGCAACCTTCCTGCTGAGAAATCTCCGTTAACACGTTGGTACTGGCAACGAGAAATCTCGTTTTCATATAAAGACACTGAGCTATGCAATTTCGCTAATTACCACAGTACTTAGAAAAATATTAAATTTGATTCAAATTGATTATCTACTCAAAATACATTACATAACAATATATCTCAGTTTCTATATCTATAGCGATATAAGTTGATCTCCCTGACATTCAGTTTTCTGAAAATTAACTGGTACGCAGTGTTAACACTAAAACTACCAAGCACTTAAACTGACTTTTCGAGATTCCTCTGTAGAACCTCCAAGAATGCACCTATGGAGAATTGATCATCAATTCAGCTTGAGTGTTGCTCAATTTCTTCAACCATTTCTCAGAGACACCTGTTATCATTTTAATAATTATAAGAAGAAACCAGGAATGGGTCGTTTCGACCCGTCTGGTAGTTTTAGTGTTAAGACTATTTAGGGCACTCCGGGATTCTTATCAGCTAGAAGCAGCGGAGCGTTCAGTGCCTAAGTACTCAACGCGATTTCCCCTCGCCGCGTTGAATCCTTCCGATGCTAAAGCCTCGCGGATCTCGCCAGTTGTTCCAATCGCTCGGCGTGTTCGGGGGAATCCCGTGATACGCGTCGCCGGTAAATCTGGGTTGCATACGCGAAGACGCTTATCGCGCCGCGGGAAGATACCCGATTGAAATCGCGCGGCCATGCTATTGACAGCTCGTCTACTCGCGGAATTGTAGCCAGCCGCCCATCCTACCACCTGCAATCTCAGCTGCTACCGCGGTCTCCTTTCCAACCCTGTCGACACACTTTCCTCCCTCCTCCATCCCTTTCAGCCTAGCCATTTCTCGTTCGCCGCGTGCTTGCGTCTGAAGGGTCCGCGCGAGGATTTCTTCGAGCGTCGTCGGTCGTTTCCTATTTTTCGAGCAACGAGACTTCTCCGCCTATCTCTGGCAATCGCTAAGTAGCGGTGAATTAATTTTTCGAGTTCGTTATTCTGTTAGAGGTTCTATTGTATTTTTGTGCGGCGTTGAAGCAACGTTTCTTTATACAGTTTGTAATCGCGAGGACTCGTCCGCCGGAAGTTCGTCGGCGTTTGTGAGCATTATTGCACAACGGGAAGCAGAATTTAGTATGGACGTAATTCGCGTGACGCGGCATTATTAATCAAAGAAAATGAAACAAATTTATTCGGTAATCCACGGCCGCGAGATTGCGAAGTTCAGCCTTCGGCGACGGGGGCGGAAGGGCGCGCACGCAGGGGTAGATTAAACTACAAGCTCGTTCGGCTTCTCTATTAGAAGATAAAGTCATCAGGCGAAGTTTTATAGTCGGGGCGAAGTTGGATCGTGAAAAAGCATTCGCGCGATCGCGTAAAACCCTGGTCCGCGTAAAATTCGCTAGGGTTACTTAGCGGGTTGTAGGAAGTCCGAGCCGTGGCACTTACGGATTGAACGTCCGTCGTTCGTCGAACCCTTTCAATTAATATTACTTTAGTGTTACCATAGTATAAATAATGAAAGGGTGGATATTGAGTAATCGAGAGCTAGGAATAAATACATGTATTTAACACGTTCACGCCGGCGTGTACCACCGGTGGCTCACAGTAAGATATCACATTAGACAGTGTGTACCATTGATGGTTCATTAGACTGCAGCATCAAATGCTCGTAAAATGGTTTGGTAATTAGAAAATATTGCCATGTAGTTGGTAATTATTTTACGTATTGATCGTTTTAATATTTTTATCAATTTTGAGAATTCAGCCAAATGGGAAAGAGTGGAAATTACAGCGCCGGTGTGAACGTGTTAATGAAATAAAGCTACAACTATGGTCAAAATATAAAATATGGAAACAACGCGGATAACGCGTAAAAAGTACAACTCAATGCCACAGAG